AGAGAGAAGTAACCTGACAGTGGTGGGTTTTACAACTGGACTGAACGTATCAAAAAAATCTTGACCGGGAACCTCATTAAACCCCTTTGCGACCCCTGGCTTTGTATCTCTCAACTGAACCATCTGCATTCCTTTTGGTTTGAAAAACCCATTTACATCCAATCACATTTTGATCATGTTTAGACGGAACCAGAAACCATGTCTGATTCTGTAACAAGGCATTAAATTCCTCATCCATAGCCTGTCGCCATTCCAAGTGTTTGACATCCTGTGTGTAACAAGTGGGATCAATGGAGCAAACCTGAGCTGTCAAGACCGTAGGTGGTGCGCGGGATCGGCTTCGTGTTTCCATGTCATAGGTACGGATATTTGGCCGAGTCGACCGTCTCCGTGGATGAGTAGTCACCGCAGCAGCCTGCTGGGCTGTCTCGGCTTCACCGGGTTCTGCCGGCAGTGTTGTGTCATTCGGCTCAGGCTCTGCTGGCGGCTGTGGTTCGGTCCGAACTAGTGCAGCTTGCTATGCTGGTTCAGACTGAATATGAGTATCGGGATTGGTCACCACGGGATGAAGGATAGATGCAACCCACGGTTTATCATGAGAATCAGAGATTTTCTGCACAGAGATTTTAGTAGCAAAAGGAAAAACAGCTTCATCGAATCTGACATGCCTGCACACGAACAACTTATTAGTCTGTAAGTCCATACATCTATACCCCCTAAAAGACTCAGGATAACCAAGAAAGACACATGGGAAGGATCTATAAGACATTTTGTGACGATTATAGGGACGAAGATGAGGATAACACAGACAACCAAAGACACGAAGAAAGGAGTACGAAGGAGGGGATTTATGCAACAAAGAGTGAGAATTGGAGTTATTTAAGATAGCAGATGGCATTCTGTTAATTAAATAAACTGCAGTTTCAAATGCAAAATCCCAAAATCTAGATGGAACAGACGCACTATAACACCACGTGTTATGGCCTCCGTATCCGGACTAATTATGAAATTAATTCCGTTAACATATAATTAAAAAGGATTTAATTAGACTAGAATTCTCATTAATTAATTATTGTGGTCCACGATGGATCATGGACCCTTATCCTTAACCAAGTCTTTAATTCTATATGGAATAGGAAAAGTGGGCCTTTACTATTCAGGTTCTAATTAGGACTCCTGAATCTATATATAGGGAATTAGAAAGCGTTTAGAAACTCTACCATAATTAATTCTACCGTGCGAGATATTCCCCGAGGAAACCTAGCAAAGGAATTCCCCGCCACCAAACTTAGAGGAATCCATTGGAGGGAGATCTTAGGGAAGAACCTTAGTAGCCAAGGATATTGATTAGGGCTAAGGAGGTACCCATGTCTTACAAAACCTATTTTCCTTGCTATATCTTGATTATTGGCTCCTTTGATATGTGATTCTGTGATTGAGTCTTGATAGAGCTTTGCCTAGGATTTATATTGTGTTTATTTGATAATCTGGTGATCTTGATGTTGTGGATTGGTTATATGTGTAATCTTATATTTTAATTATGTCTAGAACTTGTCCCTAGGGTTTATATCGTGAATCTCGTGGTTGTGATGTTCTTGGTATATTTGGGTGGGTCTATGTATGATCGGGTGTTGAGTCTAGCCTAGGACTTGTATTTAGGACTTTGTATATAGATTTCTAGATGTTCTTGTGGTTCCGGATGCTCCTGAACCGTTATATGATTAATGTTGAGTCTTAGCATGTTTAGAAATCTTGTTAGAACGTATTCGATATGATTCTTGATTTAATTTCGTGAATTGAATCCGTTGTGTTGTCGTTATGTGTTTGAATGTGTCTGGACATGGTTTTGGGTTCCACGAGAGATCTCGGGACCGAAAAGTTGCCCGTGAATTAGTCGGGGTAGGTGGGGGCAAGGGTACCCGCCACCTACCCACTGCCCGGAAGTACTGTTCCAGCGCTGCCCGCCGGACACCCGCTGGAATGGAGGGTCGCTGCCGGCAGGTGGTCGACCCGCCACCCACCCGCTGGAAAATCTATATGGGTCGTGATGTTTTTCCCCGTTTGATGTTTCCCCGTGTCGTGTTGTACCCCGTTTGTCGTATATAAGTCTCGTTTGATGTTTTGAATACCGTTCTAGGAACTTATGTGTAGCACGTGTCATTGTTGTTATGTCTTGATTGTTATTGATTGATTGTGTTGATTGATTGAATGATGATGAGTATCGTGGTCATTTCGCAATGGCTGGTGCGACAGATGATAATGATGTTGAGATTGTGATTGGTGGAAATGAATTGTTGGCGGTTGGCATAAATTGTGCCCGGTCATTGTACTAAAGGTACAGACCTAGCGGTTACTGTGCTAAAGGCACAAACCCACCTTCGACTAGCTTGCCGTAGGGCATGGGTCAGGTTATAAGTGCTGCGGTGCCATGTCAGGGCTATATGCGCTGACCCCTTGGTATTGGTACTAGAGGTACGGATCATGCGAATGGCACTGCGGCGCTATCTTGACATGTTGGTGGATGAAAGGTGGTTTGTCGGTGGGGGCATGCAGTTGCCCGGAGGAATAAGGGAGGCGATATAAGGGTGGCCTGGAGGTATAGGTTGTAACTGATATAAGGACGGAGGGGAGCTACAATGTTGGAACTTGGTATAAGGTTGGAAGATGGATTGTGTGCTTGATGATTACTTGCTAACTGATTGTCTTGAATGCCTTTGTTGTCTCTGTTCGCTATTTGTATGTTTATCTGTCTGTTATGTCTTGTAACGTGTTCTTATGACGCATGCTAGCCTTTATGATCATTCTACATTGTCCGGTCTATTGTTGTGTCTTGAGTCTTGATCTTGGATTTAAATTAGTGTCTCGTAAGTATATATGTATTCCAGTTTCAAAATGATTTCTTATATCTACCTATATTGTACTTAACGTGTTGGAGTGGGTTACCAGCATTGTTCGCTGACGGTTGTTACACCACATGTTTTTCAGGTACAGATTAGTAGCTTGGAGTGCGCTAGTTGGATCCCCTGGATCTAGTCTAGATAGTCTTAGATTCAGTTAGACGGCCTGCGAGCCTTGATTTGTATCCAATTATGGATTTATGAGTTTATGTTTGGATTAGTTAGTTAAGCCTGTGCATCTAAGTTCTCCAGCTTAGATGTGGCATAGCACCCTGCCTATTATGTTTCGTTTATGCCCTGTTTGGGATTTAACAATAGATTTGCCTTTATTTCATAAGTTTAAAAGTTTTAAAAATCAGGGGTGTTAATGCCCAAAACTGACACTTAGGTTGGCGATTGCCGTTTTTACCTCCACGGCCAAGTCCACCACTGCCGCGACGGCCGCCACCACTGCCACGAGATTGCCCAAACTGACCGTCGGACTGCCCGGAGCCACGCCTGCTGCCCCGCGACAAGCCGCCCTTACCGCGATGCTGCTGCCCAGATTTCTGGACGGAGAAAGTCGCCGATGATGCGCTCGGTCCCCCACCGCCGGTAACGAATTCCTCGGCGTCGAGAAGGTCCGAGAGCTCGTGTAGGGTAACCGGTGTGTCGCGGACGTTTAGAGAAGACACGAAACCCGTGAATTCGGGTCGTAACCCCTTAAAAACGTATAGATTTTGTTCTTCAATAGGGACATGCCAGCCAGCGAGAGTAAAATCTTCTATGAGAACCTGAGCTCGGCCAATATAATCCACAACAGAGGCATCACCCTACTGAATTGTTTGAAGCTGCCCGAGGAGGTTCAATGAGCGATATCGCGATGATGAAGCCAGGGCAGAGGTAACGGCTGTCCAAACCGCACGGCTCGTGTGATGCCCAATCGCCAAGGGCATAACTTCATCATATAAAGAGGACATGAGCATGGAGAGAAGTGTTTGATCCTGACGAACCCATGCGGAGTGGTTAGGGTTCGGCTGCGGCAACACCCCTTCCTCGCTGGTCAAAATCGTGGCCGGTGGACAAGGGTTTGATCTGTCAATGAAACCCATTAGATCATGTCCGTTGAGAAAAGGAACAACCTGAGCTCGCCAGAATAGGAAGTTTCGATAGGTCAGCTTGACGCTGATAAAGTGGTGAGCGATGGACAGGGTGGTCACAATGGCAGTGACCGATGAGATAGCAGCATTGGAAACGGTCCGTTCGGAGGAATTGACAGAACCGTCGGCCATGGGAAATAAACTCTAGCTAGCTGATACCAGATGAGAACTGTAATGAATTGTATTAACAGTAATAGTTTACAAGAGTACAGGACCTAGGTATATATACAAGAGGAGATACAGGGAGACTATGATTGGGAATCATAAGTAGACTCAAATACATAGATAGAGTCCTAATAACTACAAATGTTGTATAAAAATTTTCAAAATGTAACAAATTAAAATAATTATAATTTCACTATAAACTTCACACTCATTATTTATATAATGTTATTCATATAAATATATATCCTTATAACATCATTTTAAAACAGAAACACACACACCCCAAATCACCACTAGGTAAAGCTATAGTTATTTTTAGAGTTAATTTCAACAAAGTCTCTCTGACTATAGTGATTTTCGACATTTGGTCCTCGTCTTTTAATTTGGACAAATGTGACACTTGACTGTCAAAATATTTTCATCATTAGTCCTTCCATCACTTCAGTGTTATCTAGACGTCAATTTTAGGGGTAAAATCGTCCTTTCATTGCCTGAGTGTCTTGTATGTTGCATTGCATCAATGTTCACTTACATCGTCATCATAAGAGAAGCAACATCTACTTGGAAGCTTCAAGACATGTCATTGTTTTCCTAGTTCTGGTGGTGGCGGCGTTGATATTCGTTGTCAGGATGTACATTGTTTTTACCCTTCTCGCTTACACTCACCTTTGGGTTGTCGGCCACGCCGTTGATCTAGCTGACTCCTCCTCTTCGGCGTTGCCATTTACATCTATGCTCATAAAGCTTTTAGACTGTCTATGCTCAAATGAAGACGTTTTTTGTATCACAGATCACTACCATGGACCGCCGAATCGGGAAGTCGTTCGAGATTCCAGCGACATCATTGACCGCCTTCTTCATCAGGTGCATCCTGTTGATCGTCTCGTTTTACTGCCATGTTTTCGTGCCCATTTGCTGGCAAGTCTTGAAGAACCCACAGCGTCTACCTCCGTTGCAACAAATCGCCATCGGCCTAGTGTTCTTCATCTCATCTATGAACGCCGCTACTGATAAGTGCCAAAGATGTTATATTTTATGGGATATTTTAGATGCATTTTCTTCTATAATTAGAATCCTTTGAAACTATTATATGCATAGAATAGCTTATTTTGATTAAAGTTATGAATAAGGACTAATTGTGGTTGCATTTGTGAAATATAGGAGAACAATGTCATTTCAAGGGAATTTCGGTGACAGTTTGAAATTTTGATCATATCTCGGGTTAGGAGTGTCCAAATGAGGAGATTCAAGTGGAATTGAAACAAAAACTCAAAGGGTTACAACTTTGCTAGAGACCAAAAAAAATTAATTATGACATCTTCAGGGTCAAATCTGCACATTAACTTGCAAGCTTCAAAGAATTCGTGAAAACACTGGCCGAAAGATCCACGAGCGTGGAAGTGTTGGCTCCCAGAATTTCTGTAAGTTTTACCATGCAATGCACGAGCATGCAAGTGTTAGTTCAAGTAAGGACAGAACTTCGGTAGGATGCATGAGAGGAGTCACGAGCGTAGAAGTGTTGGTACAGGCGGCGCAGATTTTAGTATTTAAGGGAGTTTAAGGAGTTAGCTAGATTATTACCTTTTTTCATATTTTAATTGGAGCTTTTAGATAGAGAATCCTCCCTAGGGTTCCTAGACAAATTGACAACTTGATCTAAGAATTTCTTGCATTCCTAGTAGTGATAAGTATGTTCATTTACATTGCAATTTACTTTTCCTTTCTATTGTTTCCATTGATTGTTCATCCTAGCTATGCATATGTGACAATGTGTAGCTAATTCTTAGGAATTTGGATTAGGTTAACTTGTGTTGGATGCTAGAATGTTTTTATTGCAATTAGGAAATGACTTGATGCATTGACTTGAATTCTTGTTGGAAGTGGATTTTGTGTGACTCTTGTATGATTGGGAAACTTTTGTATTTAACAAATATCAGGCCAGACATCTCTCATGTTGTCCAACAACTGAGTCAATTTGTTGACAAGCCCACAAGTACTCATCTCATTGCAGCACATAGAGTGCTCAGATATCTCAAAGGATCTCCAGGGAAAGGACTGTTTTATCACAGCAAATCTCAGTTCAAAATACAAGGAATTTCTTACTCTGATTCGGCAAATTGTGTAAAGTCTAGGAAATCAGTCACTGGTTATTGCATCTATCTTGGAAGTAATCTGATTTCATGGAAGACCAAGAAGCAAGCCACTGTGTCAAAGTCCTCTTCTGAAGCTGAATATAGAGCTTTAGCCTCGACTGTGTGTGAGATCCAATAGCTTCACTATGTGATGATAGATGACAGATCTGAATGTAAAGCTTGATGTTCCATCTCCTCTATTCTGTGACAATCAGTCAGTCATTGCCATAGGGAAAAACCATGTTTTTCATGAGCGAACAAAACACATAGAGATAGACTGTCACATTGTCAAACAAAAGGTGAATGAAGGGCTGATAAAACTGCTGCCTATTCCTTCTCAGAAGCAAGTGGCTGATGGCTTCACCAAAGCTTTGCCACATCCAGCTTTTGCTAATTTCCACTCTAACCCAGCTTATGGGGGGTGATGAAGGATGTAAAACAAGGCCAATGGCATTCTTGTAACTTGACAAAAATCTGTTAGAACTGCTACTAGCTTCCTTTAAAACCTCAGTTGTATTCTCTTTGTTTGTGGTGACTAATAATGAAAACACTGAGTTCTTCTTCTTCCTTCTCAAAGCTTCTAAGTTCTAGTTCATGTTTTCTCCATTAACCATGGTCTAAGCTACTGATTTCGACAAATAGAAATTTCATATAGACCACAGTTCTAACATGAGACATGGTTCTCGATCATATGAACCGTGCTCTCTCTCTCTCTCTAATATATATATATATATATATATATATATATATATATATAATTCTAAATAACTTGAATCGAGTCTCATTAATTTAACTAGACATAAAAAAAAAATAGAATGAAAAGAGTATCACATAATTAATGCATTCTTTTAAATGATCGAAGTGGATAATATTTTTTAGACTGCGGATGTAATTAACATGCCAGCGCTATCGTGATGCCAAAATAAAAATTCCGATGAATCTAATGTAAGAATTTGATGAATCAACTGTTGACCACCTTTGCAGGTATAAGATTGTGATCTCTGATGAGTCAATGAAAATGAACCAATGAACCATGCATGCACGCAAGTGACGCAACATGTCCCAAGTCACAAAGCCCAACATACATTTAAAAAAAAATTAATAATAATAATAATTTCCCAAGTTTTGTTGATCAGATTCCTTGGATATTAGAACCCAACGGTCCAAAGTGAAACTGAATAATATCGTACCAGCCATTACCAAACCTTAATGATTCTTGATTATATTAATCACCGTTCAGAGCACACATGTTAATGGATTAGGTATTAATGGCGATTAGGTTATGTTATTGCATCAGACATATGTCTGCCAGTCAAACTACATTCGACAATGATGTGTGATTAGGAAATGTGCATTCCTGGGAAAAAGCGAACTCACTTTTCATATGCTATATGATTTTGATTTTGAAATTATTTTAAATTGCTTCATAATTTTGGTTAGATACATTGGACCATTACACATTCATGAGTACATTTGTAATTGTTTCACGATACATTTTTAAAAGATAATTTTAGTGATAAGATATGTAAAGGGTATCCTCGTATTGATATTATAATTCTTAAGGAGTGAACGAAGGATAATTAATAGAGTTGACTAATTACAAAACATAAAGTATCATCTTTGTAAATTGAATGAGAAATGTAAAGAGCGGGATATGAATTCTGCTCACTCTTGCATTGATGCTAACGGGTAGCTTAGGGATTGGGGAATCATGTAACGATTAGCAAGACTCAAGAGAGGACCAATTTCATATTATGTTCCATTCCCATGATAACTTATCACTAATTAATCTCGATCTTCTTTGGCTTCCTTTCTCAAGGCAAGTATAAGCTTGTGAGTAGTGTGCCTATAGTGAATTCCTACTCTCATAGCAACCTCACATCTTATTAAGTTATCACGTATAATTGAGCTCTAATTATATAAAAAGTTCATACAAAGCACTTAACTCGCAACAACAATCATAACCTAATTAATACATGCTTCTTAATGCAATTAAAATCACATAAGCATCAATACAAGAGTTAACCTTATCCAAATCCCAAGTAAGAGTGTAGCCACGCATGATTTCAATTGAAAAACGAATTGTTCAAAGAATCAAACTAATGGTAAGAATAAAAAGCTAAAATTGCAATTGAATTGAAAAGACTTAGCTTTAGAGTAGCACAATTTGGAATTACAACATGAAATTTATCAAATCCTAGCTTGAATCTTGTTATACTACTTGAGCTCCACCTAAATCTAAAAAGGTTTTTCCTAAGAAACTGTAATGACACAAGAAAATATGAAATCTCCTAAAAATAACCGTCAATATATATTTATAGGGTTGAAATTAAATTGTATCAAATTGGAAAATCGTTACGCTACTTGTGGCCAGAGCTAAGGTTGCCGGGAAATAGAGTATACCCTATGAAGTTTGGATAGTCGCGGCCACCTGCACGCATGTGACTAGGAAAAAGTCGCACCACTCGCGGCCATGTGACTTTATGCATTAGCTCTGACTTTCAAGCTTGTTTTTATCTATCATATTATCATTTGTATTTAACTTCATGGTCTTCATGAAAATTGTTAATCGTTGAATTATCGTTTCAATGTCACTTAAATCACTCATCAACTTTAAGCTTGAAATATTTATCAAAATAACAATAATTTTTTCTACTTTACATCAATTGATCATTCAAAATCAACGGCTAGAATTGTTTTTCAATTTTAAGGAAGGCACCAAATCCTCCGCCATTTTGGCGTTGGTCTACAGTGCAACGCCATATTTGGTGCTGCACTGTAGATGAAACGGCAAAATGGTGTAAAAGCATAAATGTCAAGTTTGCCATTTGTCTTTTTTCTTAATTCATTTTGTATTCTTATTTTATTTTTATGAATTTATATATTTTGTTAAATACATAAACATATAATTTGAATAATTAAAAATAAATTATATTATTTGAAAGATCTCATCAACACGATTAAAACAAGCCTAATATTATATATAGATTGAGCATTTGTGGGAACGATATGGTAATTTTAAAAATTAAATGTAATAGTTGTTATATGTTATATTATTGTGGAATAAAAATATTTTTTGCATTACAATTAAATTTTATATTAAAAAATAAAAGTTTTTTTAGAGCAAAAAAAAAAAAAAGTTTAGTGTAGAAATTAAAAATAAAAGTTTTAATTTATAAGAAACGTTGATCTCTTGAGTAATAAAAAATATTCCATTTTTAGCATATGACGTTGTTTTAAATAGAGTTAATTTCATTTTTTGTCCCAGATTTATAAGTCACAGTCCACTTTTAGTCCCTTTGTTATTAGAACATCCACATTTGATCCTAATATTATTATGGCATAATCATTTTTAGTCCCCTGTCAATAAAATTGTTTAAATGCCGTTAAATATAAAGATATTTTGATCTTTTTTATACAAAGTAGGTTGACCCGCTATAATTTTTTATGTTTATTTAAAAAAAATCATAATTGAAGACCAAGATGCCCTTGTATTTAATAATATTTAAATTATTTTGTTGATAAAAGATCAAAAATGATCATGCCACAATAATACTAGGACCAAAAGTAGATGTTCTGATAAAAAATGACTTAAACTGAACTGATAGCTATAAATCTAGGACCCCCTGGTAATAGTTGAATTAATTTCTATTCCTGAGGACGCAGA